TGGGGATGGACTGGCTGGGCATTTTTAAGCAGGAGAGTGACATTCTCAGTGGCGAATCAGAAGCAGGATTGTTCAGTAACACAGAGAAGGTTCTAGAAGGCAGTAGACACAGGGAGGCTACTGTGGACACTGAGGAGAAGAGGAGGTAACGCGGGGTGTGGAGAGGCAGAGCTCCACTGATGCTGAGAACCCCTGGGGTCTCAGGGTCAGTGAAAGGGGGGAGAGGGCAGACTTCTCTCAGGTTTCCACCTGGGGCAAGGAGGCAGCAGAACAAAGAAGAAAGTAGTCAATAGGACAGTCTGCAGCAGCCACAGCCACCTGTACCCTGAGACCGGAAGACCTAGATGGTGCCCAGCTAACACGACTGCCCGTTCCTATCAGACCAACAATGGATGGACTCCAATAGAACAGGGGCAAAATGGAAAAAAAGAACCTCAAATTCCTAAAAAAAAAAAAAAAACCCAAACTCCACACCTATTGAACTGGTTGAGACTAGAGGGCTCCCCAAGACTGTCACCCTGAGATACTCTTTAAGCTTTGAACTGAAACTAACCCAAGGTTACCTTGCAGCTAAATTAACAGACTGGCTCAAAGAAGAATGAAAGTCATCCATAAGCACTGTGCTTCTTTAAGAAATCACCTCTATGAGACCAAACGGTCAGCAATTACTTTAAAACAAAGATGAGAATGAGGTAAGGGGGTAGGGAGACTAGATGAAAGGAAACAGAACCACCAGAACAGAAATGACAAGAAAGTTCACTCAAGGTGAGGAATGTGACCAATGTCACTGAACAACTTGTGTAGGCATTGTTGAATGGGAACCCAAACTTTATGAAAACCTTAACCAAAAACACAATAAAATATTATTTACAAAAAAAAAAAAAAGTGGAAGAAGAAAGTGTAAGACTACAGTTAGACACAGGGTTGGAGGAGGACGGAGGGAAGAGTGAGTTTGTTTTCCATTATGTTGACACTGGTGATGAAAGGACCCCCAAGAATAATTTGAAGATGCATTCCTAAGACTTAGGAGCAGGTTTGGGTCAGCACTACCATGAAGGATGGCCTACACGGAGCTCACCAAGGTGGCCCAGAGGGAAGGCCCCGGGGAGGAAGGGAGAACCAAACAGAGCTGGTGGCATGGGGTGGGTTTCAGGGAGGTGGGTTATGGACGGTGGAGTATGAAGGGGCGAAGGAGAGGAGGTGAAGCCTGGGGAGGCAGCGCAGAGGGGCAGAGGCAGCTCTCTCGGGTGGAACCAACTGTCAATCACTTGACTACTACCTTGGTGGCTCGCTCTAGCCACCACCGTGTTTACGTGACAGCAGCCCTCTCTCCTACTGTATCTGCTATCATGACTCAGAGCTGCTCTCCGGATGGGCCAGACCGGGACGTGGGTCCTCAGGCTCCCGCTGACCCCAGCCGCCAGCACCCAGAGGAGGACTCCTGAGAGCCTCCCCCCTCCCTCCCCTGGCCGTTCACAGCACGTCCTGGGGGCAGAAGGTGAGGCTATGCCCAGAACTGCTGGAGACACTGGGGACGGGCCAGAGGGGAGCTTCTCAGGGTGCATCCCTGAGGGCCAGGGGTTGGGACACAGCACACAGAGACTCTGCCATGTGCCCTGGCAGGGCGAGGTGTCCTTGAAGGCCGTGCCCAGTCCAGGGCTGGGAACAAAGTCCACATGCTGGCAGGTACCTGCGCCTGGCTGGCAAATGGGCTGGGGGGCTCTTCTATCTCACCCCCACCCACACGCCAGGTATGAGTGTCCAGCTCAGTGTCAGAACAGCGGCTGTGATGGTGGTCTTTCAGCCGGCAGCCGACTGGCAGGTGGGGCAGGACCGTGGACAGCCAGGGCTCTGCTTGCCCGTAGGAGGTGCTGAAGGCCAGTCTCCAACCGCTGGATGGCTCAGGCCAACCACAGGCCGCAGCTTCCTGGTCGGAGACCCAGGGCAGAGAAAGGAAGAATGCAGCACAAAATAGGGTGATGGGAAGAACGGGAAGCCAGCCAGAGACGTGAGGTATAAAAATCTGTATTTATATTACAATGACAGAATGATACAGTACAGTCTCACCCGGTGGGCAGGGGGATGGCCCCCATGTCACTCTCCAGCCAGGATGTGATGGCACAGTCCACCTCCCCAGCACCAGGCCCCCACGGCGGCCCCAGACTCTGGCACAGAACCTGACCTTGTGCCCTGGATGGGGGGCTGGAGGGTATCACCCCTCCTGCTGGCTTGGGGCCAGAGTCCTCTGTGCAGGGTGGTGGGGAGGGCCCAGGTTAACTGACCCAAAGAGAGGCAGGGGGGCAGCCTGCCTGGCCCAGTGGACAGGGACGGTCTGGGGGTGGACAGGGTGGGCCACGACTCTGACTGTTCAGAAAAAGGAAAGCAGGCTGGGGCTCGTGCGTCTGGAGTCGGGCCAGGCCTGCAGATGTGGGCTCAGTGAGGAAGGCTGACCTCCTGAAGGCACCTCCCCTCGGCTGGCGGGCGCCTGCACCAGGACAGTGGTGGCCTAGTTGTATGGGATCCCTCTCCCAGCAAGCATGGGAGAACCCAAATCGTACCCCAAATCCAAGCCTGGGGGCAACAGGCGCGGGCACATGGGGGGGAAGGGCCAGGTGCCCCCAGTGGCCTATTCTGGTCTGACCTCTACAGACATGACAACACTTGGGGGTGCTCAGAACCAGCCAACGTGGCCTCAGCACTCCTCTGAGTCTCCGTGGCCACCAGTCGTGGCCACCCTGTGCCAATGCAATGGCCAGAGGCTAGGAGGAATGGATGTTCCAGTAACCCCTAGCACCAGATCTGCCTGTTGGCCCCTATCTTTCAGCTGTCTCTGAGCATGGAACGTGAAGGCCAAGGGCCAGCTCCGCTCACATTTCTGCTGGCAGAAGGGAGGGGGCATCTGAACTACAGCCCCCTGCCCCGGTGGTCAATACCCACTTCCCAGTGCCGATGGGAGCCAAGGCCGGAAAAGCTCCCGGCCATGCTTCGGGGTCCTAGAGGCCAGAGGTGGGAGCACCCTGTCACTGAGCATCAGGGGAGGGAGGCAAGATGCCTTAGGAACCCGAAACCCAGCCCAGCTGAGCCCAGGGCCCTGGAGCTCTCTCTTCTGAGCAGGCCCTTAAACACAGGGGCTCGGTGGCCACCTGGAGCTGATTAGGAGGGAGAAGCTCCTTTGTGAGTCCCCCTGACCCCCCAGAAGGAGCTGAGAGGAGAAGCAGACAGAACAGCTCTCCTCAAAACCACACAGCAGGACATGCGGACATTGTCCCCAGCCCCAGGCACTCCTCACAGGCCTGGAGCCTTCCGGGGACCACCCTGCCTCCACCCATCATTTCAGGCCCCACTAGGGCAAGTTCTATGCCAGAGCCAGTTTCAGGGACCCCCTTTTGCCTTGGGGGCCACCCACCCTGGGTCAGTCAGCGTGACCACAAAGAAACACTCACTTTTCCCCCGCGGTTTGGAAATTGGTCACAGTGCGTCTGAGACGGCAGGAGCCAGCTGTGTGCCAGCCCCGCGCCCTGTCAGTTGAGTACTGCTGTGTGGGTCCCCAGAGACACGGACCTGGAGAAGCAAAGGCCAGTGGGGGCCTCCAGCTGCCCAGGCCTGCACCACCCAGGGGACGGCTGTCTTCATCAGCTGCCAATGTCTGAAACCTGGAGTCTTACCCCAGGCCAGGGGAGCACGGGGAGTCAGGTGGGGGGCCGAGAAGCGACTTCTCCAGTTAGCAAGCAAGCTCCTGGCCCGGATGGAGGTCTTCCACCACAGGCACCAAGGGGGGGCGGACCTGAGGGTCAGGTCCCGGCCCCCCTGCCAGGTTAGAAGCAGCAGCCTCACTGCCCCAAAAGCCCCTGGCGTGACCCAGGGGGCTGCCTTCTTCTAAGAGAGGCCATCCTGCTGGGAGGGGCTGCGTGGGGAGGAAGCCGGGGTTCCCTTGGCCCTGCCTCTGCCCAGCCGGGGCCAGGAAGGACAGGGCGCCCCGGGGAGATGCTGGTGGCTGGGGTGGGGCAGCACAGGCCACAAGGCACACTAGGATGAGGGTGACCAATGACAGGAGTCCCTGAGACGCGGGGTCGCTCCCACCCCTCAGCAAACAAGGACGTGACAACGGCTAGGAAAATAAAGTACAAAAATCTCGCACAGGAAAGTCAGGCAGCACACACCTACAGTCAGCCGGCCGAGGGCCTTCCGAGGTTTCTCGTCTTTTTAAAAAGTTTCTCTTTTTTGCTTTTTCGGGAAAAGCCTCTCTCCCAGGGGAGGCTGCCACAGGCAGGGCTTGTGATGCCCCCTCCCCCTCAAGGGGACTTGCAGCATTTTTGTTTTGCTTATTTAGAGGGAGATGAGAAAGGCCCCTGAGGACCAGGTGGCTACAACCTGCCCACCCCCAGCGCACCCTCGTCCTGTTCGGACAAGCTGGGCCATTGGTGAGCTGACGGTGAGAGGGGGACAGACGCAGGCCAGGGCCAGCACTGGCCCACGCAGTCCCTGAAGGCTGGGGACTCTGGGTCTGGGTGTCTGCACGTCCACATGGCTGCGTGCGTGCGTGTGTGCGCATGCGTGTATGCCTAGGCTTATGCGTCTGTGCGTCTGTTGGTGCTGGTGTCTCTGGCCACACCTGACAGAGTGGAAGCTGCCCAGCTTGGTGGAGTGGGGCCTGGGTGGTCCCAGGAGCCCAGCCCAGCTCCTGTGACCTGCAAGCGTGGGAAGGATAGCCCCTTCTCCGCTCCCTTGCCCCAAAGTGCTCACCCGAGTCCCGCCCTTCACGGTCCCCTGTCCACGCCTCAGGAGCCTACAGGGACCGACAGACGGATGGACGGATGAACGGAGAGCCACTCCTTCCTCCCTTCCTTCCTCGGTCCACTCCTCTCTCCTGGGATCCGGGGTTAGGTGATCAGTAAGCCCCTAACACGGTGCCCGACGAGTTTGCAGCAAGGACATTTAATACTTCTGGACTATGACTAGGATTCGGAGAACAGACCGTGGACAGCGACGTCGGGCTCCCGGGACGGGGGAGCAGGGCCCTGCCTCCCTGCAGGGGGCCCTGCCCAGTTGGGAGAGACGGGCGGCTTGGTGGGCCCTGGCCGGCAGGCAGGCAGGCAGGCAGCAGGCAACCCAGGCGGCAGCCGGGCTCCCAGAATGGCACAGCAGTGGGCCGCAGAGAAGGCTGGCATCGGTCACAGGGAGGACTGGAGGGCTGAAACACTCAGCCGGGCAGGCGGGCGGGCCGAGGGCGGAGGGCACCAGGCCTACGAGAGGCCAGGGCAGCCAGGCCGCCGGCAGGGAGGCCCATAGCCACCGTCGCTGCAGCCGCCACTCTGCAGGCTGTAGTGGTCGTCCACATCACTGTTGCCGCCAACACTGTCCAGCTCGCCTGGGCCAAACTCCATGCCCTCTATGTCGACTTCTGGGGGGAACAAGAGGGAACGGGGTCAGGGCAGATGAGGGGCCAGCCGGGGTCCCCTTCCAAGAAGGGCTTCCATGCTCTCTGCTCTCCTGCAAGGGGCAGGAAGACTTGTCTGGGGTCCAAGGCAGCAGATGGTAGGATGATGTTCCCAGGTCAGCCCCCGACTTAGGCAGGTCATGGCCTCTGTGCACTGACCTCCTTGTCCCTGCGCAGCCCGTGTCTGGATGCTGAGGAATGACCAGTCCTCCATGCAAAGCTTTATACCATGCTCAGCAAGTCTGGACACCGGCCCAGCCTCTGCTACCCGTCCCCGTGAGGCCGTCCATCCCCGTGAGCCCACCCTTGCGACACTGGCCTCTGCTGCTTGTCCCCGTGAGCCTTCCCGCCCCAACCCTCGCCCTGCTCCCCCTGGGGCCCGGTTGCCCCATGGGACGCGCGCCCACGGGGGCACCTTGCTCAGAGTCGTCTGTGGAGATGGCGGAGCCTGTACTGTCCGTGCGCACGCGCTCCACACTCTGCACCGACAGCTGCTCCAGGCGCCGCTTCAGGAAGCGGTGCTCACGCTGCAGCTGCTCCTTGATGCTCAGCGCCCTGCGGTCCTGCTCCTCCAGTTTCTGGGGGCCGTGGGGTGGGGCGGGGGTGGGGGGAGAGCTGTGAGCCGTGAAGGCACCCCCATGGCACCACCTACCCGTGCACAGCAAGGTCTCGACCCCCAGAGGCCACAGAGGCCTCCCAGGGTCCCTCTAGCCCGTCCGAGGGCCACACCCAGGTGCCACCTCCCAGCCTGACACTGTCCACCTACTGACCAGCTCTAAAATGCCCATAACTGGCACCTGGCCCCGGCCCCCGGGCAGCGCCTGCGGAGCACAGCCAGGGGGCAGAGGCTCTTCCCCCACCCCAGCCTCTCCCTTGCACCTTCCTGAGAGAGTGGGCATCTGAGACGCTGCCTGGTCACACCCCGATCAAGGTGCCCATGCCTGTGTGGGCACAGGGTGCCCTTGCCTGGGACAGAGATCCCGGCTCCCCCACGATGAGCCCAAACATCCCAAGACTCTAAACCCATAGGTCTAATGGCACTGGGAGGGGCTGTCCCCAACAATGTCTCCTACTGCCCATGTCCTCCTCCCAGCTCCCTAGACTGACCCCTCAAGCTCACCCCAGGCACCTCTGCGCCCCACCCAGCTGCCTGTGCCCCTTCCCATGGGCCTCTCAACAACAGCCCTCCCAACCCTCCCGGCCCAGGGCCTTGAGGGTAGCTCTGCCCTCCTGCCTTCGCCCTTCCTCTCCCAGCCTGTCCCCTCCACCCTCCTCACGCTCCATCTCCATGCAATGCCTTGCCCAGTGACCTTCTTTCTGGACCACTCGACAGCTCCAGTTGCTGCCCCCCTGCCCAGCCCCCAGTGCACACCTGCCCAGCAGCTCCCCTCCCGCACCTGGCCTCTCCGGGTCCCACAGGGAGCTCCCCATGCACAAGGGCGTGAGCTGCGCCCACCGAGGCGTCGAGACGGGGCAGCAGGTGCGGCAGCTCACCTTGATGTGCACCTTGGCGCGCCTGAGCAGGCTGAGTGTGGTGTGGCGCGTGCTGTCGGGGCCCAGCGGGACCAGCTGCTTGAGCTGCTCCAAGTACAGTCTGAGTTTGGCTCGCCTGCAAGGGCCAGAGACAGACCCTCAGGCCGGGAGGGTGGGTCCCACACAACCTGCTCTGTACCTGTGCCCCTTGAGTCGCCTGCAACCCACATTCAGAGGCCCCACTGTCCTCCGGTGCCAAGCAGGAGACGTGGCCTGTGGCCTGGCTCCAAGGGGCCAGTTCAGCCCACGGCGGCTCCCCAGAGAGCCATCCACCAGGCGCTGCCTGGGAGCCCGGCCCCGCCCTGCTGCCTCCACCCTCTGCACTGGAGTCCAGGAAGCTTTGGGGGGCAGCCTGGGGAGACTGGGCGGAACTGACGCCACCCCACCTTCAAGCACACCTTCTGCTCACTCTTGTCACTACAGAAGCATCAGTCAGGGCAGGTGGCCAAGTCCCGGCAGATCCATCCCCGAGTCTAGAACCCCTTTGCTAACTGCTGTGTTCCAGAGTTCGTCCCCATGGCCAGACAGATGAACGTCAAGTTTCACAAAGCTGCAGGCACACAGCGCGCCATCTGCTGCACACGTGCCTTCATACCCAGCCTCCAGAAGACTCGGGAGAGGGCCTGGGATCTTATGCTTGTTTGGGGGAACCACTGGGGGGGGGCAGCTTGCGCTCCTTGGACCTTACCAGGTCTTAGAGATACCCCCATCCCCCCATATAGAGATGGGACCACGCAGGACGGCTCCAGGACTTACTGGAGGCTCAGACCCCAGCTCCTGGCCACCACTCATTCCAGGGGGGTGAGTGCCCCCGGCCAGCCCCCACTGCTCCACGGAGAACTCTGCCAAGAACCGTGCTGGGGAGGGGAGCCCCAAGGGGAAGGGCTGTTGAGGGGCCAACACTCTTTGTGGTCAGGGAGGGCCTTGCTAATCAGAGACCCAGCCCCACCCTCAGCCTGTCCCCACTGTCCCATATAAGCTCATGGGGGGGACGCTGACTCGATTCAGTCTCAGAGTGACTGCAAGTGTTACAGAACTGTTCCCGAGGGTTTATCTGGGCTGTGGTCTTTACAGAAGCAGACCGCCAGGCCTGCCTCCCACAGTGTCACTGAGTGGGTTTAAACCACCAACTTTTCAGTTAGTAGTTGAGCACAAACCATTTGTACCACCCAGGGCCCCTCCACTCATACACCAAAAAACCCACGGCATCCGGTCGATTCCAACTCATCACACCCTAGAGGACAGAGTGGAACTGCCCCACAGTGTTTCTACGGCTGTCAATCTTTATGGAACAGAACCCAAACCACGCCCACTGCCCTGGAATCAATTCCAACATACAGCGTCCCTAGAGGACAGAGTGGAACTGTACCACAGGGCTTCCAAGGCTGTCATCTTTACGGAAGCAGATGGCTGCATCTTTCTCCCACAGAGCAGCTGGTGGGTTTGAACCACCAGCCTTTTGGTTAGCAGCCGAGCATGTAACCAGTGCACCACCAACCATATAAAAAAAAAAAACAACTCACTGCCATCAAGTCGACTCCGACTCATAGCGACCCACACTGGGTTTCCGAGGCTGTAAATCTTTACAGAAGTACATTGCCCCATCTTCCGTCTGTGGAGTGGCTGGCAGGTTTGAACCACTAACCTTCTGGTTAGCAGTCAGGTACCTTAGGCACCGTGCCACCAGAGCTCCTTACCAACCATATAGTAAGTGGTAACTTTTACCAAACCAAAAACCAAACTCACCGCCATGGAGTTGAATCCGACTCATAGCAACCCCTCCTTGGGTTTCTGGGGCGGTATCTCTAAGGAAGTAAATTACCCAACCTTCCTTCCGAGGACTGGCTGGTGGGTTTGAACCGCCAACCTTCTGCTTAGCAGTCAAATGCCTTAGGCACTACGCCACCACTTAGTTCCCTAAGCAGTACCTGATCTTTGTTGGAAAATTAGAGCATGCCCACAAATTAACAAAAAGAAACAAAAGAGATGAAAATTACCCCAAATTCCACCACCCAGAGACGACCTTACGATCATTTTAGTATATTCTACACGTTGGCATCATGAATGTTAAGTGAAAAAAATAAGAATTACCGAACCACATATGTCACAAGTGATCTAATTTTGTTAAAAAAAAAAAAAAAGTGGACGCACACAACAGATTCCACAGGACACAAGGAATTAATGACGGCATGCACCTCCATGGGATGCGATCAGTAACGTTTATTTGGGTCGCTTCCTGCTCGACTCTAGTCCGGGTTCTCTATGCTAAAAGAGCCACATAGTACTTTTACAATCAGAAAAAAATACATTTGTACAAAAAAAGGAGAAAAAAATAAAACAGCTGAAAGACACATAACAGGAAAAAGCATTCACAATACACATAAAACAAATGGTTAGTATTCATAATATTTCAAAATGACACAAATGAAAAATAAAGAAGAGGACTAGCTCAACAGAAAAACGGGCAAAGGACACAAACAGGCAAAGGCGCAGAATACAAATGGCTTGGTCTTGGCCATGGAGTTGACTGTGACTCACGGGCACCCCTAGAAGACAGAGTGGAACTGCCCGCAGGGTCTCCCAGGCTGTCAATCTTCACAGAAGCAAAGCCCAAACCACACCCACTGCCCTGGAGTCCATTCTGACCCACAGCGCCCCTAGAGGACAGAGTGGAACTGCCCACAGGTCTCCAAGGCTGTCAATCTTTACAGAAGTTGACTGCCTCATCTTTCTCCCAAAGAGCAGCTGGTGGGTTCAAATTGCCTAACACACACAGATGGTAGATCTGATGTAAAAACCGACCCCCAACCCTGGCTAATCGAGGAAAGGAAAACTCAGGCAAGGAGACAGTGATTTTCACCCTTCCAATGGGCTGAAACGACAGAGTGCGACGGACACCTGTGATGTTCACTGGCTAGAGGCGGGGGCAGTGAGTGGGCACAGAGCCCCTGAAGGGCCGCCAGAGAGCGACGCTCAAACTTAAGTCAGCTTCGACTCTGCCCGGCATTTCTGCTTCGAAGGCTTTCATCCTACTGAACTATCCGCACAGGCAGGCAAAGTGCCACAGTGTCTTTCCCAAACGTGGAATCACCACCGCAGCCAGGCAGTGCGGCTGAGGGTGCAGGCGTCGGAGACCAGAAGGCCAAGGACGACACAGGCCGTAGGTGGACAGTGCGAATGGGACGTCACATGAAAGATCCGGTTAGGAAATCACAGACAGTGAGACCCTGTCCTATCCACGTCGAGTAGCCTGTTAGTACCCGCACGGGGCAGGCTGGCAGCACGGCCTCAGAGCTGCTGAGGGAGGTCGTCTGTGGGCCAGGGAGCTCCAGACGCCCGCGACATGACAACATGAACAGATCACTCAGAAATCACCAGAAAGACATTCTTCTAACAGAGAGAGGCCATCTGAGTGCAGGTGTCCACCCAGCCTCAGGAAAGCACAGATCTGAAACGTTGCAGGGAGGGGGGGTGCCCTACAACCCAGGGTACGGGACGGGTGCCGAGAGCCTGGAAGGGTGGCTGGGCCCCTCCCCACACAGGCGAAGGCCAGAGTCACTGGTCACAGGAGACCAATGGGGGTCCCTGGGGTGAGCAGCTGAGCATGGCCTTAGCAGACCTGAGGGAGCTGCTGGTCCATGAGAAGAAGGTGAGTGGGAAGAGGCTGAGGTAGGAACAATACAGGGCTGGCCTAGTGCTCCCAAAATGGGCAAGTCAGAGGCCCAAGCCGGGCCCCCAGAGAGGGACACAGCCCAGCCAGGTGCTTCCTTCCTTCCTGGGGACGGCCAGTGCAGCCCTTCCTGCAGCTAGCAGCCAGGACATCACGCATCAGGCCATGGCCAAGGTCCTGCCAGGGCCCCTGCTCCACACCAGCCAGGAACAGAGTACCTGGAAGGGCCACCAGTGCCCAGGCTCCTCACCACCCTTTCCTCCGAGTCTCAAAAGGATCTCTTGGGGCCCAACCTAAGGATAGACCATGGGAGGAGGTGGCAGGGGCCAAGTTGGCATCAATGGGTAGCTGCAGGGACCTGGTGTCAGAGACCAGCCCCTGTCCTCCTCTCTCAGACTGTGTACCCTAACCACCTGTCTTCCCTCAAGGTCACCCCAGCTCTGGGAAGCCTTCTCCCAGAACACTGTGCCCACCCCCCCAGGCTCCTGGGTCCTAAGCAAGGCCAGACCTGTTCCCTCTGGCCTGGGAGCAACACTAGGGCTGCCTAGCTCTTCCTTGGCCCTTGTACCTTTCCTCACCTCGGTGGTCCCTAGGGAACTCCCAAACACACACACACACACACACACACACACAGGCAGTCCAGGAAGCGCAATTCCACCAGAGAACACACTATCCTGTCCCTGCCCGGTGCCTGCCCAGCCAGAGGCCAGCAGCCCCAGGGAGCGGAAGCTGGCACCACCACGGGTGCAGACACTGGGAGAGCGGTAGGACACAGAGCACTGGTTGGGCACCACGCTTCCCGGAGCAGGCCAGAGAGGGTTCAGCTTGGACCCGACCACCCGTAACTGAGGAGAGGAGGCAAGAGCAGCCCATTTCACAGATGAAAACAAAAGGCAGGAGAAAGCTACCTCCTAGGGTCTCTCAGTGGGTCACCCCTCGGTCCGGCATGCGGCTCCTGCCTTCAGGGCTGCCTGGCCCAATGTTCCCCTGCCGCCACCTGCCCGAGACCAGCCTCGAGGGCAGCCATCTGCAGGCGCTCCCTGAGGCCAGCTCATCCCCACCGGGGCAGTCCAGGGCTTCCGGGCTCACATGCACCCAGAGCCCGAGCGGCCTCCGTCAGCCAGGAGTGGGCCCCAACTGAGGCAGGATAGAGAGGGGGCTCCATCAGCCACTGAGCTGCCTCAAGTCCTGGCCTGTAGTCGGGTGGGCTCTAGGACAGCACTGCCCCCTAGGACCAAGTGGCCTGGGACTGGCCACCTAGCTCATTGCCCATCAAACATAACTCTGTTGTTGGTTCCTTGCAAGAGTGGCCCCAGCAGAGGAGGAAGCCCCTGATCAATAGGCCAAAGCCTGAGGGGCTGATCTCAGAGGGGCTCAGACTGCCCCAGATGTGGACCCATCTCCTCCTCCAGGAAGCCAACACTGACTATCTGCAGCACACAGTCCGGGCCCAAGTCCCTCTGGCCCTGGGCCGGATTCCCCAAAGCAGGGCCTGAGCCCCCTCCTCCTGCCTCCCTGACTGACCGTCTCCAGGAGAAAGCCACAGAGCCCAGCCATACCAGGACATGTCGGGCTTGAGGAAGGCTGATCCCAGTGTCCCCCTCAGCAGACGGGGGCCTGGGTGTGCCAGGTGGCTCACATTGGGGATGGGTGCGGGACAAGGGGGTCACTCACCTGTGCTTTTCTAGTTCATTGTGTGACGACCTGTTTAGAGAGACAGAGAGAGAGAGAGACTGCACTCACTCCACAGCCGGACCCCAGAGCATGTTCTTCAGCCCTGACAAGCCCCTGCTCCACTCAGGGGTCTGGAGACCAAAGGGGAACCTGGGGACAGTCCAGGACGGGGAGCGTGTGGCAGATGAACCAGCAGAGGTATGATACTGAGGGCAAAGACAGAGACCCAGAGGTGTAGGCATGTGCAGGGCCCCCCAGCTCACCCAGTGAGGCCCTGGGGGCTCCGACCAGCAGAAGGGTCCAGATCCCCTTCTGGAAGGGGTGGGAGAGGCCCGGGGAGCATTGGTGGCTGGCCCTGCCGCTGGCCCCAGTCTATGATGCCCGGGCAGCCTGGGCACCCAGCTGCCTGCCTGCTCAGCGCCCCGCTCCCTGGGTCCAGCTGCATCCTTGGAGTCAGTGTGGACCAGCAAAGGGCCAACTATAGGGTGGCTAGCAGAGGACAGGGTCCTCCCAAGCATAAGGGCCAGGTCTTCAGGAGATGGGGCAGTCCCTCCCCACCTCGCAGGGGCAGAAGCATGGACCAGGCCCACCCGACAGCTGGGCCTGCCCTGTGGACACCCCCACATACTTACAGCCCCACTGTCTCAGCAGGGCACCCAGGTGGGTTAGCCCACGAGAGGGCTTCTCAGATGTGGACATTTCGGGGGCCAGTAGGCAGGTCCAGCTGCGTTTGCCCAAGGAGGACAATGAGGCAGAGGCCAAGGTCACCTGGGCTGTGGGCACGGCAGGGCACATGTAGACTGATCCCTGCCCTCTTCCCTTAGTCCTTCCCAGACCTTCTACTGACCACTGCAAGCCTGTACTCCAGGAGCTTGGCACCAGGGCTCTCCTGTGTCCACCCCTCCTTCCAGAGTGGCCGCCCATCCTGCCCGCCTCTGCCCCCTGCCCAGCCTGGATGTTGACGGAGGCCTCCCTCCTCCCAGCTGGCTCAGGAGACTCCTGGCTCCCTCAGGAGAGTCTCCAGACCTGGGCTTGGGGTCCTCAAGGGACTGCCTGGGACACAGGCTGGGCAAGGAGCCTCAAAACCTCAGCCTGGGGGCACTGGGGCCTGGACGAGGCTCCCTGACACCTGCTGGCCCTTGGGCAGAGTGTCTGGACCTGTGGGTCAGCTGCCTCAGGCAGGAGGCCGGTCAATGGGTGCTCTTCTAGGCAGAGCCAGCCCGTCTCCTCTCAGGGTGGCTGCTGGCTGGGGCTCTCCACCTTGGAGACTGAAGCCACCACTTGGGCAGCCTAGGGGATGACAGGGGACCCAGAGCCTCTCCTGCATGGGGGAAGCTCGTCACACAGGCCCAGGAGCACCCTGGTCCCCAACCACAGACACTCAGGTGTCTGGGCATCACCTGGTTGACTCCTCACCTCAGCCTCACCACACAGGAGCACTCCTCCCCACTGAACCTGACCCCCACAACCTGAGCTGAACCACTGGCCCCTGAGCCTGCAGCACACCCCCCCCCGCAGAGCCCTCCTGCCTCACCCCGCTCCAGCTGCACCTCCCCGCCTCTCCCCCACCTGCCAGGACACACAAGCCTCAGGGGCAGAGCTGCCCTACCAAGTGCCAGGCCTCTGGCCTTTCCCTGTGCTGCCCACTACCTGGTGTGGGCTAAGGCCTAGCTGGACCACCACAGCCTAGAAAGCAAGCACCAAGTGCCCAGGAAAAGTACTGTCTGTAACCTGGAGCTGGCCCAGGCACTGGGTGGGGTGGGGAAGAAGGCCTGTCTAGGCACTGGGCAGGCAGGGGCAACTGGTCTAGGCACTTGGGGGCAGAGAGGGCTGCTCTAGGCACTAGGAGGGGAGGCCTGGTCTAGGCACTGGGGTGGGGGGTGCTGGTCCAGCCATTAGGTGGCCCAGGCACGCACTGGGGGGAGTGCTCTGCCCAGAAAAGCCGCAGGGGAAGTGTGCCAGGGGCAGACACCCTTTTCTTCCTTCCCCAGAGTGCCCATGGGGTCTATCTCAGCAGCCTGCAGATGCCAGGATCCCCTCTCAGAACAGCAGACACTCAGTGCTGGGTGCCCCTGCGCCTCAGTTTCCCCAATTGTAAAATGGAGATATTCAACACCTCCTGGGGGCGGCAGTGACGATCAACGAGCTGTGTGCTAAAGCCTCAGCTATGATTCTGGCTATCAGCTTGGGGGCCCATGCCACGGGAGCTCAAGGTCACACCTAGAGTTTTCTTTGGGTGGTAGGGCCCCAGGACAGCAGCAACCTGGCTGGTTTACCAAGGAGGCCCACAGCACTGGTGCCCCCACATTCACATCTTTCCCCGAAATGTCCCCAGCAGGGGACCAGGGGCTGGCACTCAGAGATGCTTTCCAGCCAACCAACTCCGTGCCAGGCCCAGGGCGCCAGGACGTCACACGAGATGGGTCCTTGTGCCAGCCTGTTTCTCAAGAATGGGCAGGCCACAGGAATGAACCGCACCCTCTGCCAAGGGGCCTCCAAGCCCCTCCGATGCGCAGTTCCCTGTGGAGGCCAAGGTGGGCCCTAGGGAGTGCCAGGCATGCCACAGTCTTCAAAGACTCTGGGGTGCTGAAACCCCATGGGACACAAAGCCCCCACTTAAGGATGTACACCCCAGCACCGGAGCATCTGCAGGCAGGGGTGCAAGGCCAGAGCAGCAGACTCGGGCAACTGGCTCCTGGCAGCCTGTCCTATCCCCTGGTCCCATCGTTGGTTCCCTTGGTCACTACACTGCCCACCTTAAAAGGGCGACCCTTGCATTTGTCGCTGGAGTTCGACTTGTTCAGGAGACTGGGCTGGAGAAGTGGGCACCCTGGAGAGCATGGGGCCCCAGGCCAAGGCTTCCGGGAGCCTTCTTTGTCCAGGCACCTGGGAGGAGGTCGCCTTTGGCGACAGTCGGAGGGTGCGGCGGGGCACACGGCCCACCCACACGCAGAGGGGGGCCGGACGGGATGGGAGAGGTTGGCGCCGCCAGCCTCACTGTACCCTCCATGGTACCCACGGGACACCAGCCAGCCCCCACTGACAACTTTTTTCCTCCCTGTAAAAGTCAGACACAACTCGGGGGCGGGGACGCGGCTGTCAGGAGACCCCGGCGGCGAGCGCTGTACGCGTGGCACTGTTTACGCGAGAGGCCGGGAGGCGCGGCCCCAGGAAGATGGCGACGGCGCGGGCGGGGCGCGACGCGGCCTGGAGCGCCTCCTCCTCCAGGCTGGCCGCCGGGCCGCGCGGCGAGACCGGAGCTGCAAGCTGGGGTCCAGGCGCGGGAGGGGGCAAGCCCAGGTCAGGCGGGGCGGACGCGACCCCGGTCCGGATCGGGCGCCCCGGTGGAGAGGGGGACGGTACCTGTTGTTCGGGGCCTTGCGGACCAGGCCGCCGGCCTTTGTTTTCTTCCTGGCGAAGTCACCATCGAAGGGCAGCACTGACGCGTAGCCGTGCTCGGCCTCTGCGGACAGACGGCGCGGTCAGCGGGCCCGCACCCCCCGCGGCCCTCCCCGCGGCCGGCGCACAAAGGGGCGCGGTACCTCGGTCCCTGCGCTCCAGGT